AGAGATGGGAGGACGAACTGAAACTAACAGCAGGCTACAACTGGAGAAGAGTCGCAAAAGATAGAGAACAGTGGAAAGGGTTAGAGGAGGCCTTTGCCAAGAGGCAAACCGAACTCCGAGATATACTGGAGTGAAAATATATTAAAGTTCAGATATATAAAATGACAGAGTTTCGGAATATAAAGGCTATATATATTATTATTATTATTAAATTAATACGTACAATGAGAACACCTATGTTTGGGCAGAAAAAGATCTGGCCGTCCACGTAGTGTTCGTACGAAAAAGGTGGTCAAAGCAGTAAGGTAAAATATAATTCGAAGTCATCCCGAAAGCAAATATATTTGTATCGAACCACATCGCGTATTTTAAAGGATGACTTAGAACTTCTAATAAGAGACGTACGGGTCATTTCTTAACTCATAATTTAAAAAAGAATAAAGTGGTAAAATCGAAACAACTACTGAAGCGGCACGCAAAGGGAGGTCACAGAAAAATTCTGTTTCTTTTGATAACTGGCCTCATCGTTTAAAGGTCTATATTGCAGCCAATGGAGACCACTTCGAATAAGCTTTTTATATTTTAAGCTGTTTTATATTTATGTATTAAGCTAACACACTAAAAGTAATAAATGTTAAAGGCAAAAGTTTTTTTTTCTTTCTTTGTTTCAGTATTTATGGCCAGACTAGGTATTTTAAATAACATATATGAGTATATCATATAGTATCATATATATCATATTAGATATATGTATGTGGTATAATTAAATAACTTTAACAGATCGTCATGATCGTAGAACGTTTTATTATATACTAAATTGACTTAATATTACGGCAACATTAAAAAAGAAATTCCATGTGTTTTAAATTTCAAAATAATCAGTCGATAAAGTGACGGATTTGTTAGACGCTTATTCATTTTTCTAGAAAACTGTGTAATTTAATTATAATATTTTTATTTTGTTTCAAAAGAAACCATATTGTTTGCTTGTATGCCAATTTTCATAATTACAGAATATGAATTAAAAAGTTATGACCTAAAACTAACATGATTATATTATTTTGAACTGGCTGCCCTTTACTATTTGTTAGATCCGTCACTATTCTACGACTATGACGAGATTCTGTCTTATGCACTAATCATCCATATACATTTGAACACACAGAAAAACTCGGTTAAAATATCGTTTATTCATTAAAGCCGCAAACCCCTATATTTGTCACTCAAATCCCTAAACGCTTAAGTACTATAAATTGCTAGTTTTTATAGAAAAAGTTACGATACGCGACCAAGAAATGGCCGATACAAATTTACTGCATCAAATTCCGTAGGAAATTTAATAAATTTCTGTTAGTTGTTTCACTCACAATATTTTTTTCCTTTTAATGCGCTTGGCCTGTGGCTTCAGCGTGTGACTCTCATAATCTTGAGGTCGTAGGTTCGATGGGCGCATTTAACATTCGCTCGTATGAAGGAAAACATCACGAGGAAACCTTGCGAGGGCTTGCTTTACGACACATAGTCCACGGTGTGTGACAGGCACAGGAGGCTGTTACTTGCCTATTAAATTGACAAATAAGCATGAATAAGATACAGTAGTCTAATGCCCAGACCTAAAAAGGTTGTAGCGCGACTGGTTTACGTATTAATGCACTGACCAGGCTTCCGCACCTGACACGTGGGTCTAAAGCCAGTATTACGTTTTCCTTTGCGTCCTTAAAATATTGGTGCACAGTCTACGACCTCAGTGATAAGAGTATCAGACCACAACGCTACCTTTTTTTATAGAACAGCGAGCAAACGGGTACGAGGCTCACCTGATGTTAAGTTGCCGGCCGGTCTTTTAAGAATTGGTACGCTCTTTTCTTGAAGAACCCTAAGACTATGACTTACCTATGGACGAGAAGAACGTCTTTTGGGGCTTATATACGCCCACAGCGGAGCCCTAATAAAGAGTTGCGCATTAAATCATTGTACAGACCTCACCTTAAGACGACACAAAATGATTTAGAACACCACAGGGTGTTTCAGAACGCGTTCTATTAAACTTTTACACAAAAATGTGAAAACTGAATTTCTTAAAGATACTTTTGCAGCGAGCCTTCTGGCATGGGCGACATCACTTAAAAATAAAAATAAATCAGTGGCACTACAAGCTTTTTAGGTCTAGGCATCAGATTTCTGAATCTCTTTCATGATTATTTTTATTATTATAAGGCAAGTAGGTGATCAGCCTCCTGTGCCTTTCAGACGTCCACTTTTTGGGTCTAAGGCACGCCTGTTTCTATACAATGTTTTCCTTTGAGCGAGTGTTAAATAGGCACATAGAAAGAAAGTTCATGGTGTACAGCCGGGGATCAAACCTACGACCTCAGGGATGAGAGTAGCAAGCTGAAGCCACAACGCAAACACTGCTCTGACAGCACTATTTACTTCCTTTTGGAGTATTCACCCCTTCAACGAGCCTTCTGGCATGGGCGATGTGTATTGTCTGTGGTCATGAAATGTCTATGGTCAAATCGAAGTCGCACAGACAATGCAAAAAGCTTCAGTATGTGTAGTGTCAGAAATTGTAAGCTTTAAAATATTTTTTAATAGATTTTTCGTAGCCAAATTTTCCTTCCTTTGCACAGAATCAAACGGACATCCTCAGGGTACATTAAGCCACTGGTAAACCCAGCTACGCGGTTACGAAGAAAAAGTGCCACACCCTTTACACCTTACCGACTTATTAATATTTATTACAAGGGTTACACTATACATGCAAAAACCGATTCTACCACTTGAAACCAAGGTCGAAAATCCCTCACAAGTGTCCACGAAATCCAACCCCATTTTACTTCCAACCCTATTCCCTTGAAATAAAGTCGACAATTGAATAAACCGTTAGTCACGCAAGTGTATCATTGTTTTTCGATGTTATAAATATGGCTTTTAGGTTCTGTCTCTGGGAACAATATTTTATAAACATTGATTTGTGGAACATCTAAGGGTTGGACTGCAAATTAGTTTTCTCCTGTGGGTTATAAAGTGACAAAATTTACGATTGACTCAGTGTATAACGAAATTGATATCCAGATAATCCAGACACTTTAAAACACTTTGAAAATAGCTGATATAGCTGAAGTGAGCTGGAGGCTCACCGTGGACGTCTTCTGCCCAATCCAGAATTGTTTTGAAACACTTCGCAAAAGCTATATTTTTGGAAAGAGGTATACCTTGCTCTATCCAGCTTTCTGGAGGGAGGGGAAATGTGAAGTTCAAGACTGATATAGCTTCACTGTGGACGCCCCATCTATGAGCCATAGGACATTAAGTAGTAGTAAGTGAACTAGTGTTTTTAATTAAACATCGAAACGGCTTCCCCGAAAGACTTTCCATGTCTGGAAAATGGACAAGAAACTTACTCTTTTGTAAGGAGCAACTTGATTCATCTTTATATTTTATTTAACCTTCAAAAGTGCCATTTTAGACTTGACTTGACCATTAGAAAAATGATACAGAAATCTGGGGTCCAGACCTAAAAGACTGTTAAACAAAACTTCAATACTCCATACAATTTTGAATGAAAAATATAAGTTTTATAATAATTCAAGCTACAGACCGGGGTAAACAAAGCCGATGCTCGCCTATTGTCGTGTACCGTCAGCAGAAACGTTATATTAACGTTTAAGTCCGCTCTGATATCTAAAATATATATTTTTTGCTCCGAGAAGTAAGATCGTAAAGCACTATTTCGACTGTTTTAATGTTTTTTTTTCATTTTTGACGTTGGTTATAACTGTTTTTATTTTCAGAATTTTTGCAATAATTTTACTATAAAAAAACACAGTGCCTTTATTCTACGGAAATAATTTTGTGCACAATGTTGGTAATACTCGTTTACCTAATTTAACTTTCCTGAAAGCAACCATAAAGGTAGTTTTAGTTTAGGTTAAATAAATAATCATAACAGTTAATGCGACAGTTTCAAAACAAATAAAGAGTGGTAATAATATACCTCTGTTTCACCAACGTCAATATATCCGCGAAAAGAATGGGAATAAATTATTACATTCTAGACATTCGTCAAAATTACCGTTAATATGTTTAAACCGTGAAAGGCTTCAGTCCAATTATGTAACATACTGTAATGAAGATAATGTGTCAACGACTAATCACATGCCTATTAAGAAAATCACGAAATAGATACATGTGTTTTTTTTAAATCCTTATCTATTGGAGGAAAAGGCTAGACAACGTTTTTTCTCTTTCTAGCTTCAGTCTCCTTTAGTTACATTCTCTTATTTTAGTGCATTTTGGACAGAATGTAAAAGAATATTATTCGTTTGGTTGGGTACGCATGAACAAGATAACAAGTGACAAGGCTCAACAGGGAAAAAGAAAGAGAAGTTCTCTCTCGGACTTGGGCTGACAAGCGAGAAAGTTGGTGGAGTAGATTTGCAGATAACTCTCGAGATAGAGAGATATGGAGCCGTTTGAAGGAGGCCCTTACGTGAGGCCTAAGATAAGGCTCATCTGATGTTAAGTGACACGCACATTGCTAGAGGGCAAGTGCGTTGCCGGCCTTTAAATGTAAGCTTTTTAAGGTATGTTTAATTAGTATTGTTTCTAGGAATAGATGAATATTAAATCTTTTGTCTTGTTTTCTTTAACATATATACTCGTATGTAAAATTATATTTTTATGCAGTCCAATTCATTTCGCAGACCGACGCAAACAATACCGATGCGCTTATAATGTAGGGTTAGCAAAAAAATTATATTCCTACTTTAATGTTGATTTTTTTATAAATGTACCTCTTAGTGGTGAATTTTGTTTTATATACATTTGGTTAAGAAATTTATTACAATATATACATATTTATATTCCTTAATATCCATGGGCCAGTGGGGGTGCGTCGTTTTGCCTTTCGTTATTTAATGAGTATTTAGACCAAAAGTTTGACACCAATTATAAATAACTGAACTGTTCTTATTATTATTGTTACACTGTTAAAGTCATGAGTCAAGAATCACTACCGAATAGCCACGAAAAGAGGCAGACTTGTCAGATGATGGAGGGACGATCTGGAGACCACAGGTAGGGCTGTGTGGGTAGTTGCCGGGATAAAAATAAGTGGAGTGAGCTGAAAGACGGTTACAACAAGAGCAAATATTGTGTTGTGTTTCAAGAAATAAAAAGGCCAAAAGTATTGTTTTTGAACAAAGAAACTTTTTTTGCAAACGGTACATCTGGTTATTGTGCGGTATCCCTCTCCTTAAAGGGATTTAGCCGTTACTATTGAAACTCGAATCGTGAAAAAAACATAATATTCTTGTTTGGGGTAGGTGGGTTCTAGTCTAGGTAAAGTTTGTGAACTTGTAAGGGGTAATTTCTGGATCTACTTGAAAATTCTTTTACCAATAGCCAGCGACGTCTCTTGTGTTATAGGCTGTATAAACCTGAATGAAAAGACTGTCGTGGTCGGATTTCCAGTTTCTTACGAACACTGCCTAAATCAGAGAATTTATATTACTAGAGTAATTGAGTCTTTTTATATCAGGTCAAACTCAAAAACTACTTTATTCCAGTTTTCACCAATATCTTTAATGCTTCCTGATGAAGCGGTACGTATACTCGATACTACTACGACTATTTACGAGTCAAGATCATGGTCACAAGCCGGTTGGTATATTAAATGAATTAGGATTTCTGTCTATAAAAATGTTTAGAAAACCAATAGTACTGGACAGTTGTGATTGATAAAAATACCTCCCTGTGTAGTAAATCAAAGCCCGACAGACAAACATAATGCACAATATGTCCTTTGGGTGTCTGCTTTTATACCTCGGAAACAATATTTTTTGCCGACAAACTTTGAGCCTTGATTAGTATACTCCAAGCGCGTGCAACGTACCAACAAAGGGGCAGGAGGCTCACCTGATGCACCGACCATGGACACTCTCAATGAAGCCTCACCTGATGCACCGACCATGGACACTCTCAATGAAGGCTCGCAAGTTCAAGAATCGGTACACTCTTGAAGGACAAATTGGTTCGGGAATACTTCGATGGGCTGGATCACCATGGTGGTTCCCAAAATAATACAGTTGTGGACGTCTTGGTTATACGGGTGGAATTTCGTATGCCTCCACGTGCGATTATGAAATGCAGGTGCTTCCTGCAGCTGTCCATGGACACTTACACTGGTATAAGGCCCGCAATGTGTTGACGGGCTATGTAATGTTTGGTAGAAAAACTGTCTTAAAAAACGCTCAGTTGTGGACCATACCATCACCTCGACGTCTGATGAAGCACTCTGCTGCAGGTACTTATGAGGAACAACTCCTGAATATTGGTAATTCATGAATCTTTTTAATTTTTAGTTTATTTTATTACATTTTTAGTAAATAAAAATAAATTCTATATTTTTTTTATACAAATCTTATAAATTTTTATGCACTTCTTGCACATTAAGAAATAAAATAAATCAGTGGCGCTACCTCTTTAGGTCTGGGCCTCAGATTTCTGAATCTGTTTCATGATCATTTTTATATCTAATAAGCAAGTAGGTGATCAGCCTCCTGTGCCTGACACAGGGTCTAAGGCAAGCCGATTTCCTCATGATGTTTTCCTTCGTACGAGCGAATGTTAAATGTGCGCATAGAACGACCTTTGGTGCACAGCCGGGGTTCTACGACCTCAGGTATGAGAGTCGCACGCTGAAGCCACTAGGCCAACACTGCTCTGCTTCTTGCAATTTACCCATAATATTTATTTGTTAACTTTTTCCTTACTAGGGTTTCCTGAAAGAGATTGCTTGTTAGCGATAAGGATTGCCCGTGCATTTCTTATAATTTTTGTGGATTTTCTTTAAATGTAACGAAGTGTAAATAAATGCGGTAGAAGATGCAGAGAGACCCCACATCTGTTCGCTACGCCAACGGAATATTGTATCAATTTTAAAGAATTATTTTACTTAAATTGTAACGGAGAAGCCACGCTTTGCTCACCTACTTTAAGACCCGCTACATAAACGCGATACAATCGAACGGATTTTGGTACAGTTTTCATTAAAAGTATTGATTGTGAAGATTTAAGTTTTATTTATCGGCAAAAATCTCCTACACAATGAAGTTCCAGATAAATTCCTAGAGAATAGAAGTCAATGTGCAAAAAAACAAAAAAAAAACTCACCGTTTCCTCTCTGGTTGCAGCAAGATCTGTAAAAAAATTAAAATTACTTACCTAACTGATTTACAAAATTAATGAGACCGGTAACCCATCATAATGGTAACCACAGCATGTGTCGCTTAACTTTAAAAATTATAGCATCTTTACCAATATTCATGTAACCGGTAACCCATCACAACCCTGACACATTTATGTCTGGATTACTAAATAATTCTTTCACTAAGAGGTTCTTCCGAGCCCCTTTGTGACATTAAAAAAATCAGTAGCGTTACAACCTTCTTAGGTCTGGGCCTCAGATTTCTGTATCTATTTCTCTATTATCTATCAATCTAATAGGCAAGTAGATCAGCCTCCTGTGCCTAACACACCCCGTCGTATTGGGTCTAAGGCAAGCCGGTTTCCTCACGATGTTTTCCTTCGTCGTTCGAAGGAATGTTAAATGTATACATATAAGTCCAATGGTGCACAGTCGTGGATCGATAGGATCTCAGGAGTCGCACGCTGAAGCCACTAAACCAACAATACTCTTTGTAACATACCTGATCCTAAAACACCCGAAAATCCAAAGGGACCATCCCAGGAACTCCTGAAATGTATTTTTTTATTATTAGAACTTATTTTGAATGATTGGACTGATAACTATGTAAACTGAATTAATATAGTTTACATATACATACGTGCTCGGAAATAGCATGGACTGGAGCATCATAAAATATTCCGACGTTTTTTATAGCACAGGGGACAAACGGGCAGGAGGCTCACCTGATATTAAGTGATACCTCCCATGGACATTGCCAGATGGCTTTTAAGTGCCTTTTAAGAATTGGCACGCTCTTGAAGGACCCCAAGTCAAATTGTTTCAGAAATACTTCGATAGGCTGGTTCACCATGGTGACTCCCAAAACAACGCTCACTTCTGGACATCGTATAACCTCGATGTCCACCGTTTCATAATTATGACAGATTATACTGATTCTCAGCTGCAGGTATTAATCCGAACAACTCTAAACACTCTCCATGATAAATGCGATAGAAGATGCAGAGATACTCCACATCTCTACGCAACGCCAAGCGAGCTATTACGAGCTGCTCGGAAATTTTGTATGGAACGGTGGTATCCATGGATGTTATCCAGTCAGGATGGCCATCAGCTTTGCTTGGAAGTTGGAGAAGAGCTCAAGTATTGACAAGCTCCGAATAAATAGTTCAAATTTTAATATAATAAACCCACTTTGGATCGCTCAATTGCCGCTTTATCAACTGCAGCTTCTTCCCTCCATCATTTTTGACGGTTTCGATGGCTGACGATTTGAATACGAGGAGAAATGCCCCCACAACCGAAGCAGAGAACAACACAAGCAAGCATGCAATACATGTATACTCTGATGCCAGGACTTTCTTCAAGCTGAAAGGAATCACTATCAATTTACAGAAATTTGCAGCTGATTAGCAAGTTCAATGCTAATCAGAAATGGGTTTAATGTATTTTTAATCGAACTAAAAACATTGAATAGAGTATTGCTGGCTTCAGCGTGCGAATCTCATCCCTGAGAGGGAGAACCACAGCTGTGCACCAATGGACTGTCTATGTGCGCATATAACATTCGCTCGAACGGTGAAGGAAAACATCGTGAGGAAATTGGCTTGCCTTATACCTAAAAATTCGTGTGTGAGGGACAGGAGGCTGATCTACCACTTGCCTATAAGATTAACAAATGATCATGAAACAGATACAGAAATCTCAGGCTTAGAACTAAAAAGGTCTCAAAGATCGCGGTGGACCGTTTAAGTTCAACTCTCTGTGTCACACACACTGTAACACTCTCCGTCGACGTTTTGCGCTTTTAATTGATCAATTAATAGGGGATGATTGTAGCAATTTTATTAAAATTTCATCTCACGCGCACGATACACACGAGCAGGTATCATCTGCCGACTTCGGTGCTTTCCCGCCCTGGAAAAAACCGTTAATTTTATTTATTTATTTTACTCCAATTCGTCATCTCTACTAGTAGTGTCAAATATAAATGAAAAGAAGACAAGAAAACCAGAAGATTTCAAGATGAGCTCGCTTATATACGTTAGTTGCAGTAACCTGTGTCCACCAGGTATGGCACTAAGCTGTGCTTCTACTGCAAAAGCAAACGGCCCGGTCTGTGACGGATACTTGCTGTCATCACAAACTAACAATGGGCGTGATGAGGCGGACGCAATCGACCGTATATCATAATGCGGATAAGGCTTTGATGTCCGCTATCCGCCAAAGCCTGTAGAGCTAAAGGGTGATTGGTGGGGCCTTGGGGTTTATTTGGGTATGCGCAATGTACTTGCTCAAGTAAAAAAAAAACTAACATGTGTCCACCAGGTTTCTTTGACTCCCCCATGTCCCGGCTGAAATAAAAAATAGATTTACTACTAATTACTAATATATGTCAATTCATTACTAACATTACTTTACATTTTAAAAAATACGCCATTATCCAAATATAAAATACGTAGCCAACTAGCTTAATTAGCAGTTCAATCAACAGCCTAGCCTCTTTACTAAACGCCGTTTAACTTGCCTGAATGATGTTCAGCCATTTGATCAAACAGCTAGGCAAATATTTAATAACTTGAATCTATGAAGTTTCAACTGAAACTCAAAATAACTTTATTCATAAAGGTCACCAAGTACACTTATGAACGTCAACAGAAAAGGTGTTTAATTGATTCTAAATTTACATTTACTACCAGTTCGCAAGTCAATTGCGTAGAGCGGGCAAGAAGAACTGACAAGAAACGCTCCACCACTCTTTTTAAACGCCATGTATTGAGTCATACAAATTGTTTGAACTGGAGCAAATCAATCCCAAGGATCATTTAAATCATCGTGAAATTTATAAAAAGCTTTATTGATTAATTTACATTTAATGAGTTTTAATTTCATTCAGTGATAATTCTCTAATTTCGCTTGGGAGTTGTTGTAAAAACGAATACAATTTCCATAAGGATTGGTTTATCTTCTGGAGCCTGGTTGGGTGTACGCTTAGATTAGTTCTGTTTCGAGAATTATACTGGTGAAAGTCACCATTTGTTTTAGAGTCGATATTTTTATGTACATAAACAAGGTTTAAGGAATATATTGACCAGATATTTAATTTCTTAAACTTACTTGCCTAGTACAGTACTAAAAAGTGTATTTTCGTTCAAAATCTAATTAAATTCTTACTTCTCTGTTCTCGTCCACGCTTCGTTCTTTGGTCTTGTACCGGTCTGTGCTACTGGAGTCGTAAGTCTTCTAAAACATATCACTTATTAGCCGATGTCAAACCGGAGCAGTGTTTTGGTGTACAGAACTGGACAGACGGGCCTACCAGATGTTAAGCGAGATGAGGCCTATTGGAGAGCACGTCTATCCAGAAGATGCGTATTTAACCGCCACTTAAATGAACACTTATTATTCAGTTTAGGAAAGATGGAAGGAGTGCGGCACATGAGGAATGAATGGGCGAAACTCCAGCGTGCTTCTAAATGAGAGTTGTATGCAAGGGTATGACGGAATCAGATTTAGCTCCATGGAGCGCTGAAAGTGCAATTAATGGAAGACTGAAAGCCAGACAACTGAACGACGATGGTAAATTCTCAAGAGTTAAGATTCAACAAGTGAATCGTCGTCTATAGTTCGTTTAGCCCACCTTCCAATAGCATCCAAGGCACTCAGATGACATTTGGCAGCACCGGTCCAGGGATGGCTGCAGTACTTTACACACTCCCATTATAACGTTAATCCGAAGTCCGACAAAAAGTTAACTAAATATATTTTTTATTTATAAAGTTTTATATAAACTAACGTTTTCTCAAAACTTTATTAAAATCATGGAAAGGCCCAGAAGGGTTCAAACTGTGATTTGCCAAGAGGTCAGGTTTTTATAATTGTAATTTTAATAAAGTAATAAAAATGTTGTCTTTATCGCCGACCACTTGTTTGGCCGCGTTTCTAAAGAATTAATTAACCATTAATTGAAGAATTGCTTGAATTCAGCAAAATACAACCTTAAAGGGCTAGGTCTAGGCCTCAGATTTCTGTATCGGTTTCATGATCATCATTTGTCAATCTAATAGGTAAGTAGGTGATCAGTCCACACACGCCGACTTTTTAGGTATAGGGCAAGCCATCAAGCTCACAATGTTTTCCAATCGAACGAGTGTTACATGTGGACATAGAAAGTCCATTGGTTCACAGCTGGGAATCGAACCTACTATCCCCTGACATTGAAAAACAGACTCAAAGCCTTTCAGTAATTATAAATATAAACTATTAATTTTGCTTACTTGTTCTGTTTTCCGAAAATATTTTCTTTTCTTGTCTTTTTGTTTTTCTTTTAACAATGTCGCTTTCTCTGGATCCCTGAAGTATACAATATATTAATTCACTGCATCTACTGTTTTTACCGGTGAGTGTGAAGAGTTGTTCGGATTAACATCTGCAGCTGAGTTTCATCATCGGACGTTGAGGTAGAATACGAAATTGGAACACCTCGACGTCCACAACTGAGCGTTATTTAAGGCAGTTTTTGAGCATCAACAACTATTTGGAACCAGCTGCCCACTGAAGTATTTCCGAACTAATTCGACTTAGGTTCCTTGAAGATTACCAATTAAATTTATTGCGTGCCAATTCTTAAAATGGCTGCACTAGCGAGCCTTTTGGCATTGGCGGTATCACTTAACATCAGATGAGCCACCTGCCCGTTTGCCCCATGTTCTATAAAATTTAAAGGCCGGTAACGCACACGCGAGCCCTCTGGAATTGAGAGTCCATAGGCGATATCACTTAACAACAGACGAGCCTCATGCCCCTTGTTATTTAAAAAACATTTTTGTCTCAATCTTTGAATTTATTATATTATTTTTAATGAATTATAAAGAAAAAATTATATCATTACAATGCGGAAATTTATAGGAAATACGTGCATACGCATACCAATGACGACGTTGAAGTCTAGAGGAGGTGATAGTTAGACCCACTAAAAACACGTCAACCCTCCCTAAATCTGGGCACTCACCAAAGCATTCAAGACAACCCATCAAAAAACCCAGTGGTGCTACAACCTTTCACTTCTGGACCTCTGATTTCTGTATTTATTTGGTGATCATTTCTGAACGGCAACTAGGTGATCAGCCTTCTATGCCCGGTTTCCTTAAGATGTTTTCCTACAATCGAGGCAATTCCTTCAAACGCGCCCAAATTCCATTGATACACAATTCGACATCAGGGCATAGAAGACCCTAGACCAAGAATGCTTTTAAACCTGTTTCTGCCTACACCAACACCAACAATGCAAGCTCAGTTTTGTATCAGCCCGGACATACAAGGACAACTAAGCCTTGACACCAAGCTTTATGATGCGAAAGGAGTATTAAGAATATCCATAGCGAACACCTGCATCATGTGCACACCAAGCACACCACATACATACTTTTACACAATCGCACAGCACAGCCGAATTAGGTACTTGATTAAATGTATTGAATATTTTTTATTGATTTTTCCTTTCATCTAAAGACCTAATCATAACAATAACTAACAGAATCTCCAGATAAGTTTAATACATACTGAAAATCCTTGAATATTTTCAAAACTGGAGACTGTGTCTCCTTGTGTTCTTTCTTGCCGTGGCTGAAAAATTAAAGTTTTTAAAACACACATTTTTTTATAAAACAGGGCTCTGATGTTAAGTGATATGCCCATGGACACTCTCAATGGCTAAATCCCACCGGGAATCCATTCCACAGTTCGCTAGTTCCAGCCATCAAGGTTAAACCAAAAGTGTCAGAAATACCACTAAAATATGGTATTTGCTGTGGGAACCTAACAATAAAACAATGTACTACAGTTTTACAGAAGACTAAAACAGAATACAAAAAAGATTTGCATTTTAAAGTCTATTAACAGAAAGCGCTAGGCAGGCGGTAACAGGTATCATCGTGTTACCGAATTAATAGGGAAACCGCAGGACAGTCACACTTAAAACACGCTAAACGTCTTTTAAAACCTTTCCTTTATAGGAATTCACAGCTGTGAATGAAGTAGTTCCACCGTCATGAAGAGGCCTTACCAGGGTCTGGAGTCACTGAAGACTCACACAACAACTTATTTTTAGTGGTTTTGGATATCAAATTGATTCTAGGAAGTTATAAGTAAGTACTATATATGAGAAATAGATAATAACATGTCGAAATATATATTAAATACCTTTTCTTGCTCGCTCCCATCACAATAAAATAATCAAAATGTCACAAATGACATATCCACGACATTTATGGTATTAAAAAGTTTGCATATAATTTTAAAACGACCTCGGGACCTTCATGTAGACGTTACCGCAATAATCAATTGATTGCTGGAGCCCACGAACAAAGAAAAAGAAAAAGCTATTCAACTTGACACCACGGGCCTAGTGAGAAGATTGAAGTGAGAGTTAGTGCAATGCTGAAGTGCTAAGTGAAAAGAACACAAGAACAGAGTGTCTTCTATTTTTCTATTCTTATATTAAATTTATTTAGAATTACATACATTCTTCTATAGAGACTGTAAGTAGTATTATTGGACACTATCTTATGTTTATTAGTCTTAAATTAGGCTAGATCGTAATATTCCATGATGTTATACTTTGTGAAAACTTATTATATTTTGTCCAATGGCTGGACAATAATTAAAAATAATGCTGGAGCCCACGAACAAAGGCTCCACCATGATATAATTATCAAAGCTATTCAACCTCTTGACACCACGAATTGTCACCAAAATTTGGCAGCTGAAATTTTTTTTTTCGTTTTACCTATGCATTAAAATATCGCAACAGATAAATTATTAGTGTAGTGAAATAAAATACCTAATTTCCCCCAAGGGTCGGGTAAATTTCTCGCAATTATACTCCCACAATGTTCATGGTTTTATTGCGCACGCAATAACTTTGAGTGATACTTTTGATGCGATGTTTTGGGGTAGTATGTGGAGAGAGAAAACCTTTCTATCATATTAAAAACCTCGTTCAGATATCTCTACAATAGTTTAAATTTATATTTAAACTAAGGATTCTCATTAATTTTATTAAATTTTATTTAAATTAATGGGTTTTCCCTTGCTATTTTCCTTTTATCATTCCCTTTTTAGCTTGCATAATTTTACCTACCACAAATGTAAAACGATTTCAAACCATTGGCCCGGTACACTCACATATATATGTCGCAGCCAACTTGCTTAATAAGCCGTTCAATTAACAGGCTAGCTTGTAAAATACACGGAGCCTTACCTTTACTTTAATATAACGTAATAATAAGAAATTGGAAACAAATTTAAAAAGTTTCGTCTCTGTATTTCGATACTTATTGTCGAAAGCACCAGCCCTGGGATACTACCAGTGACCTTAAATTTATAATTGTTGAGACTTCAAAGAGATTTAACCAAATGGCAACTAATTGGCCGCAATAAAATTTATTTCCAAAAGAACTACCGAATTTTACCCGAAGTTACATTTGATCCGTACCGAACCATTCTCCTCATCTCAATTCGTACTTAGCCATTCCCCAAGAAGGTTTATAGACTCTGTACTTGAGATATGGCCGAAATAAACATCTTTAAACGATTTAATACCGGTAAATTAGTGTTATTACAAAATAAAATCGGTTTTATCTACGTTTTTTAAAGTATGTTACAAAAAATAAATACCCAGAGTTTGCACGACTGGATTTGATTAAATATATAGTAGTTAGACTATATATTTATATGGTGTCATATACGTTTTTGTAGATATTGATGTCGTCTATAAAACTGTAGTACATCACTTTGCTCTATTGTCTATAGTTTCTGCAGCGTACGCGATATAGTAATTTTCGATCACACCTTGGGTTACATACATATGTATTATGTTTTGGAAAGTAAACAATAACATTTGTTAATTAATTGTATTTTATTGAATATGTAATATGAACATAATAAAATAAATAAAAAAAAAAGGCTTTAAATTTCTTGAAAAAGAACAAAGTAAACTTAATACTATTTGTCTATATACATATAAAAATTTTATGTTGGTTTGTGTACGCTTCAAAAACTCAAAAAGTTTTGCACCGATCGAGCTGAAATTTTAGCACGCATCAAGGATTGTTTTTATCTATTTTTTTTAAGTAAAACATCTTTCGGCGCGACCAGGAAGTAGCTCCATGTTTTTTTTCTGCCAAACTTTACTCGGTCCTATATTGTGATAGTAATCATAATAACTGATAAAATCGCAACGCGAATAAATCAGTTACTTCCAAAAATTATTATTTATTTGTATCAATGGAAACTATGTAAATACACTAATATATAGATTTGTTATATCTTGTAGCGAAAATGATTCGCCACCGACTTTTACATTACATGTAGCGACATCTCTGGGCAGTTAGGATACTGTTTTTGAACAGCGGTGCCTCGATTAACATTATTATTAAAGCGTCTTTATTTCAATAGTGAATAATATTATATTAAACGAATCAAAATCAAAATCATTTTTACAAATCATTATGGACCTTTCTACTGGTAAAGGCCTCCTCCATTTTGATCCGCATCTGTCTGTAGTTTGCTTGATCCAGTTTTCACCATCTTTTCCTTTGGTCTACCTCTTAAGCTTTTATTTGTTGGTCCTTGCCAGGTGTCCCTTGGTGTCTAGTTTTCCTTGTCCATGCGTGCAATATGACGTGCATAACATTTAATTAGATACCAAAGACACGGAGATATACAATATTATTTTTTGGGCCAATTTTATCGCTTAAATTCGTTTTTTACTATTTTGTAAGAAGTAAATTAATACCAAATTAATTATCCTAAAAATCTGGTCTATTTTATATAAAAATAACAAAGTTGTATAAGAGAATAGCAAAGTGAATAAAAAAATCAACAGTTTTAAGAAAATCATATTAAATTGCAATTGAAAATCTCTAAATATTCTTATTGATTTATTACTTTTCAAATAAGTAAATTAATAATAAATTTTCTGACGATTGCGATATTCTATAATATTCAATAACAAGGTTATATTGACATGTGCTGATCTAACCTCCGTATTTGAATAATCTTTGTAAAGCACATGAATAATAAATATAATTAAATTAGAATATGATATTTATTATTTCAGTTAATATTTAATCATTTCAGTGATATATGCCGTCAACGCCAAAGAAGTTTAACTTCAATCGCGCGTAAAGGTTACACGCACACACTTTTTTTATATTTTTTTCCACAAGTATTGCAAAATTAAACTTCTATGAAATGTTTTATTTGTTTTGTTTCTCATTTCTCAACCATTCAATCACAATGTGCCACAGCGAAGCGTAACGGGGAACAGTAGTAACATATATATTTTTAAGAAAATAAATTACACTATTTTTTTCCTATTTTTTATTTCTATTTCCCAATTATTTCGCAACAACCCTTTGGTGAAGGCCAAGGATCTCCAGGTATCTCGGTTTTAGGTGAGTTGCATCCAGCTCGAGCCAGCCGTTTTAGCAATGCCGTATTTTGTTTCGTTTCCCAATAGGGCCTCCCCACCTGGTCACCCTGATGGTCCATCGATCGTCAGAGTATTGCTTCATACCCTGCCCATTTCCATAAGTTAGTTAAGCTTTAGAGTTTAGCGCATCAGTAGCTTTAGTAACGCTTCTTATTTTACTAATTTTTCTAATGTATGCTTGCTCCGTTCTAGGCCCCTTTGACAAGTTCTGATTTTTCTTTTTATCTTCTCTGTATATTTCTTAGTCTGGCAAGCATAAGTTAGACATGGCAAGAGACTGCTTGACATGGCTAGCATATGGTTTCATATACTTTTTTGTAGATATTGATGTCATCTATAAAAATGTAGAACGTCACTTTGCTCTATTGTCTATTGTTTCCGCATAAAACTACTTGGAAAAAAATATATCGATCATTAGGGTTATTTAGGATTCTGTGTGTTCTCCCAACTATTTAAAAAAAAAACTCCTTCCTAAAAAGTCGCCAATACACTTACATGAGTTTCCATCTAAAATTGAAAGTTTAATATTTTTATAACATAATTGTCATGTATTTTTGAAAAGATTGTAACATATACTATAGATAAATAAGGTAGAATAAATATATAAATAAATTACTTTTTTAAACACTTAAAAATTTTATTATATCTCTAAAGCTTAGGGTGCGTCGACCGCATCTCCCATAACCTAAACATTATTAAACATTTATTTAAAAGACCCTAAGGGCACATTTCGGATATTTGGAAAGCCATTGCAAAGCTATCTCTAAGAATAACAATATTCAAATTCTTTTATGAATATACTTGCGATGTCTTTGCGTTAATTTTCTATCAGGCGTAAATAAATTAAAAACAACAATTAAAAATGTTTTCTACTATGTTATTTCTATATACATATACTATTTATTTACTCTATGAGTGAGAAGATATTGAGAAGAGAAAGAAAGAAATATTTTTATTACATATCATAAAAGGGTGTTAGGTAAAAGAGAGAGTGGGTGCCCTGTATTAGCTAGTCTACGAGTATTCTATTAGACATATTATTTGACTTAAAAAATTCTACATAACACCCACAATTTTATAATTACAAATGAAAGTTGGCTGATGCAAAAAGGGTACTACTTTATATAAAGTCACTTCGATGTATTTTTTTTTTAAATTGTGAACATTACTGTCCGTTGGCCCACGGGCAAAATAAAAACGACGGTGTCAGTTGCAGAAGGCTAAATCTGATTACGAAACAGTTACAGTTCTGAAGCTAAGACCTAAACGTAGCCTATGTTTCTTCTGTGACCTCCCCTCTTCTAAAAATAGACATTTAAAACCTTACGAACCTATAAACCATTAACGATCCGTAGTTCAAATATTGGTACGCCGATAAAAGTACAATATTGCGGTACTAGGCCGTAAAGTCAGGAATCGAATCTACCAGTAACCCTTGGGCGTCATGCGACGTCTGTAATTTATGACCTCCTGTCACTCACATATTAGCTGGTAGGGTCGCCACTGCGGAAACAAAAATAGACATTTTGATCTTAGAAGATTTTCTTTTTATAGGAGGGAAACACTCACATTACAAGAAGGCTTGTAAGAATTGGTACGCTTTTGAAGGACCCTAAGTCGAATTGGTTCGGAAATACTTCAGTGGGCAGCCGGTTCGACATAGTGGTGTGCGGCAAACACTGCCTTAAGAATCTCTCAGTTTTGGGACGGACGTCGAGGTGATAC